TTGGATAATGATTTAAAGAATACAGTATTATTTGTGGCTCATAAATAAATGAAGCAGGTCAAAATGTGTTCATAAGGTTTGTTTTTTATTCTGTCCAATTGTGGGCAATTCTTGGAGACTGTCAGGATAAGTCCCTGCAGTTTTCTTAGCAATATTTTTCAGAAGTGGTTTGCCAATCCTTCCTACAGCTGAGAGAAAGTGACTGGTCACCCAGCTGTCTTTGTGCCAAAGTGAAATTAGAACTCATAGCCTTCTGATTTCCCACTTGATGCTTTAATTATCAAACAACTTCCTTCGTAAACTGAATGGTATACAAAAGTCCAAGCCTGGATGTGATAGCTCCTGTAAATTGGACCCCTATAGGGTTCTAGCCCATGTGTTCTGAAACCCTGATTAAACCCATAGACTATGTACTAGATAGAATAGTATTCTAATAGTATAGCATTATGGTATAACTTGTAAACCTACTCAAATGCTTAAATAGTTTCAGACACTTAACTATGTTCTGTCCTTGTTTGCAAACCCAAATAGCTTCCTATTCTAGTCCTTACTTTTCTAAGACAAGGTTCTTCAAACTTGGCAAGTTTAAGACTTGTGGACTTCAACTCTCAGAATTCCTGAGCTAACATGACTGGAGGACGAATGGGAGTTGAAATCCACAAGTCTTAAAGCTGTCAAGTTTGAAGACCCCTGCTCTAAGATCTCCTTTTAAAGTGACAATTGAGTTTTAAAATATATTTTTAAAGCAGTACATTGAGATAAATATTTACTCTGTATTATAATACTCTGTATTATAAATGTGTACTGCATAAATTGTAGTTATGTAAATTCAATGTATCCTTCCATGCCAATGATCCATTGCTAAAAGGGAAAGGAAAAAGACTGTTGTTGGCAAGGAGACTTCTTCGTTTTAAACTCTTAAGTGGTGTCCGAAATTGTCTATCAGAATTGCACAGCAAGCAGTCCTGTGAAATATGCAATAGACCAATCTGTTGCTTGACAAATCATGAGTGATCAAGCAGATGGTATGCTGGAATCTCTTGCAGGCCAATTTATATCACAGTATTCTGTTGAGAACCCATGCAAAATGCATGGATGTCTCCAGTCTATTAGCATTCATCTTTTTCCAGAGACAATCAGTAGGTTTCAGAATATTCCAAGAGGATGTGATAGTTCTTACTGAATCTACTCTCTTACAGATTATAGCTGTTTCAACATTGTATTATAGGAACTTTTACACATGAACTCTGGTCTATTTTATACCCTTTGACATCCTTGTTTCTCTGTTCCTGATGGAATTTTCTCTAATTTATTCCATCACTTGTTAGTGTTTTCTCTTACCTCTGTTTATCTTTAATATTTTGTAGCTTCCTGTCTTCATCTGAGAATTCAGAACAGCCAAGCTGTATTTTCAATAAGCATGTTCAGCAATTGAGCAAACATTTTTGCATAAGGAAAATATCTTTTTGAGGTGGGAATAGAAATCATAGTATGCTGCTTAATGATTCTTTCATTCAAAAATATGTGTGTGTATATGGGGAGGGAGTTATCTATCTGCATTGTGTTTCTGTGATAGAGACCCCCCCTTGCCTCTATTTTGATACACATGAATGAGTGGCATAATATTGCTTTCAGTATTTTAATGAAAATCTCTGATCCTGCAGACATTCTTCACCCACATGCTTCTTATTACCCAAGAACAACAATGCTAACCAATAAATTTTGATATTCATGAAATCCATATTTGTGAGACTAATAAGAAAACAGTTAAGTTGGGTCTCTATTCTATCAACCCTTGCAAAGGGAAAGCAGATTTGTCTGTATAAAAAAGCTGAATGTTACTGAACTTGAATATAAAATGTTGTTTGCCTATCAGCAACAAGGAAAATTGATTGCTCAATTCATTTTCTTTTACATCTGGAACTGATGTCATCAGGAGTGATCCAGGTTCCATTTCTTATGAAGCGTGGCTTGGTAGGGCCTAGGAGGAGAGCCGCCGCCTTCTTTTTTTTTTTTTTACAAAATTTTATTAAGTTAATTATTAATAACATTGGACGTGGTGTAATCATTCCGACAATCCTGATTGTCATACATATTATGGCATAGAATACATACTTTATATACATATTTACATTTATACATCTGTACATTTATGCAACAGTTTTCAATTCTAGTCATCTGTTCTGCCAACTCTCTTTTGATTCTAGATCCTTCCTTTTTCCCCACCATTGATAGAATTTATCTCATATTTTATATTATTCTATTTTGTCTTTATCTTTCATCTCTAAAGTTAATTTATCCATCTCAGTGCATGTCCATATTTTTTTTATTACAAACATTTTCATTGAGAATTTGTCTTTCCACTTTTGAGCAAAGGTTAGTTTTGCTCCCATAACCACATGTATTATTAAATAGATCTCTTCTTTATTGTATTTTTCTATTACAATTCCAAGAAGGAAAAATTCTGGTTTATATTCCACTTTATGCCCTACCATCTCCTCAAGCCACTTCTGTGCCAAAATTCCTGGGTTTTTCTATATCTCTACCACATGTGGTAATATGAACTGTATTCTTTGGTGCATTTCCAACAGTCAGGTGATACATTTTAATACATTTTAGACAATTTTGCTGGAGGAAGATGCCACCTATAAAACAGTTTATATAAGTTTTTCTTATATGATGTAGCCAATGTTATTTTTTTGTTTCTTTCCCATAAAATTTGCTAATTGTCCAAATCGATGCCATGCCCATTTTTTTTGCCTATGCCAACATCATTTCTTTTACCTGCTCTTCCTCCAGCTTACAATCCAATAAACATCTATAGATTTTCTATATCAGTTTGTCCTCTGATCCAAGTAATATTTTGTCCATTATCATAGGCTACTGATCCCCCATTCTTTCATAACTTGTCTACATGTTGATTTGACTTGTAGGTAAACCCTCCATTCCAATTCTACTCTTTGATTTTTTAGTTTCTGTCATGGTTTTAATTCTCCTGCCTCATTTATGATGTCTTTATAAGTGATGGCTTTCCCTTAACTAAAAAAGTTTGGGTGGACTAAAGCTTCGAGTGTGGATAGCCAAACTGGGGTTTCTATGTATGTTTGTTGTTTGATTTTATACCAAAAGTAGTGCCTGTCTAATCTGATGTTATTGAAAATAACGGTGGGTATCATGTCTGCCATAACATAGAAAGGCATGCCACCCTAGTTGTAGATTATGTCCTTCTAATGCTAACAATCTTCTATTTTTTAGTGTTATCCAATTCTTTACCCAGGTAAGAGATGCTGCCTGATAATATATTTCCCAATTCAGAAGACCAAAATCTCCTCTTTCTTTGGCATCTTGTAATAATTTAATCCTGGGGTTTTTTTTGCCATATAAAGTTTAATGTTATTTTGTTTAATTCACCAAAAAACTTTTTATCTAATTTTACCAGTATGTTTTGAAAGAGGAAGATTAGTTTTGGAAGAACATTCATTTTTATTACAGCTATTTTACCTATAAAAGATAACCTTAGGTTTCCCCATCTTTCCAGGTTTTCTGATACGTGTTTCATTAATGTACCATAATTATCTTCCCTAATTGTTGTACATCTTGCTGACATTTGAATCCATAAATATTTTATTTTGTTAACTATCAGGATGCCCATTATCTTAGTCAATAATTCTTTTTGTTTATTTGTCATATTTTTAGTAATTATTTTAGTTTTCTCTTTGTTTATTTTCAATCCTACAATCTCTCTGGATTCTTCTAATATTTCTATAAGTTTTGGTCCTGATTGTTGTGGTTCTTCCAGAATAAAGACCAGGTCATCTGCAAAGACTTGTAATTTGAGTATTTCTTTCTTAATTTCTAGGCCTTTTATTCATGTTTCTTTTCTAATTATCCTTGTTAATACTTCTAGCGTTAGTATAAACAGAAGCGAGGATAATGGACAGCCTTGCCTCATAACTTTTTGGATTTTAAAATTTTCCATTGTCTCCCCATTTATTATTATCTTGGCTTCCTGCTTACTCTATATTGCCGTTATTACATTTATAAATTTCTGACCAAAGTCTATGTATCTGAGTTGTTGCAGAATGAAGTTCCATTTAATGTTATCAAATGCCTTTTGGGCATTTAGAAACAGTAGGGCCACCTGCTCCCCGCTATGTTCTTCATAAAATTCCAAGGTATTTAAAATTACGCTTATATTATTTTTAAGCTGTCTTTTTGGTAGAAAGCCATTTTGATCAGTATGTATGAAATCATTTAAGATTTTTTTCAGTTGAACAGCTATTATTGATACAAAGATCTTATAGTCTGTGTTTAAGAGAGATATTGGTCTATAGTTTTTGATAAGTGTTTGGTCTTTATTTTCCTTAAGGATAATTGTGATGGTTGCTTCTCTCCATGTTTGTGGTATTTTCGCCTCTTCCAGAACTGCATTATATACTTCAAGTAACATATTTCCTAAAATTTCTTGCTGATCTTTATACAGCTCTGCTGGAAGTCTGTCTGGGCCTGGTGCCTTGTTTTTTTTTTTTTTTGTTTGTTTGTTTATTGCTGAGGAGAGCCTTCTTTCATCCTCCACCACCACCACTACATCATTCCTCTGGAGATCAGATTTGCCCCAAATCTACTGGCTTTTCCTAAGGCGTTGAAAACCTGCTTAGATAGGGCCAATGCATTTTGTTTTGGGTTTTTAATCTTAAAATTAAGATTTTTAGCCTACTTATAATACAAGTAGGCTAATAATACTTAAATACTTAAAATATTAGTTTTTGAGAGTCATTGCCTCATTCCCTAGCCCTAGAGAGAGTAAACAGTCAAAATCACCCACTTGGCTTCATGTCTAAGGCAGGGCTAGAATTCAAAATGTCCTAGTTTCTAGCTTTCTGCCTTTAATTACAACACAAAATTGATTTGGTTTTATAATTATAAGACTATAATTATCCTAATGACATTGTACTATATCTTATTGCAGATTCACCTAATGCTTTATATCTTTTTTCCAGATATCACCTCAAGTACAGAAGTAAAATATGTGATAGCTTTGGTCGCAGTTATATGCCTTGTCCCATTGCTGGTGATCACCATTGCTGTGATCATTATCTTTTACTTCTACCGTGTTCAGAGAAGGAGGAAACTCAACAAGGCATGGGAGAAAAATGTGAAGTCCAGGAAGCACAAAGACTGTAGTGACGTTTGTGCCATTATGCTGGATGATGATCGTTCTGACATCAGTTCTACTTGTGCTAATAATATTAACCATAATACCGAACTGCTGCCTATTGAATTGGATACTTTAGTAGGCAAAGGGCGATTTGCAGAAGTCTATAAGGCTAAACTGAAACAAAACACATCAGAACAGTTTGAAACTGTGGCTGTGAAGATCTTCTCTTATGAAGAATATGCCTCCTGGAAGACTGAGAAAGATATCTTTTCTGACATAAATCTAAAACATGAGAACATCCTACAATTTCTTACAGCAGAGGAGCGCAAGACAGATCTAGGCAAACAATATTGGTTGATCACTGCTTTCCATTCAAGAGGCAACTTGCAGGAATATCTCATAAAACACATCATTAGCTGGGAGGATCTCTGGAAACTGGGTGGCTCTTTGGCTCGTGGGATTGCCCATCTTCATAGTGATCACACACCATGTGGTCGGCCCAAGACACCAATTGTTCACAGAGACCTGAAGAGTTCTAATATTCTGGTAAAGAATGACCTGGCTTGCTGTCTCTGTGACTTTGGGTTATCACTAAGGCTGGATCCTACTCTTTCTGTTGATGACCTGGCTAATAGCGGGCAGGTAAGTTGATGCATGAAGAGCAATTTGGACAGCCTAAGGATTTTGATGAATAATGTCCTTGTTGAAGTATCTAGCTTTGTGATGGATTGACTGTGACTAGAAGCAGGCTTGAGTAACTGCATGTCATTCCATGTAGTATCTCTTCAATAAAATCTGGACAATCATTTGAAAGCAGTGGATGGCAGATTTAACTCAAACTGCATCAAATCCTTTTTTCCTAACACCTGTTACCATTTATGGAGGAAACCCTAATAATTGCACTTGGAGGTATTGATTAAGTGGGGATTAAAGTCATGAAAATTGAATCTACTTTCATCTACCCAGTATTTTCCTATCTACACACTTTGATTTTTGAGAAAAAATATTTCGCTTTCTGAATAAAAGTTAAATCATTTTAACTTTAAATGCTGACAGGTTGGTACAGCAAGATATATGGCTCCTGAAGTCCTGGAATCCAGAATGAACTTGGATAATGTTGAATCCTTTAAGCAGACTGATGTGTATTCCATGGCTTTGGTTCTGTGGGAAATGACATCTCGCTGCAATGGTGTTGGAGGTACGCTTGATTCCATTGATTAAGTATTCCTTGTCTATTATGTTTGCAGGTGGTATATTTATTATTAAAGAGGCTTGTTGTTCATAGATGGTCTCCCTTTCAGGCAGTTTTAGCATTTAGTGAGCTAGCCATCAAGCTATCTTATTTAACATGTTTGAAACCAAGAGCAGACAGACTTGCTGGCACAGAGATTAGCAAGCAAATATCTGCACATATTGTGCATTCCTTGTTCTTATCAATCTTGAGCAGTCATCTGGGGGGTGGGGGATTCCAGGTCATAGATAGCAGAAAATAAGCTGTTTTAAAATGGGTTTATTGGGACATGGGAAACATCCTCTCCCTTCCAGCAGTTCTATTCAACAAAGCTTGTTTTATCACTGCTGATGGGTGAAAACTTCCTGACTTCTCTGACTCCACAGTTCTCTACTGCACTGCTAGTGCTCCTTCTAGAACCACATTTAATTGACCCGAAGTCAATCTAATTGACCTGAAGTCAATTTGTTGAGAGAGATTATATGTACAGACCATTAAAAACTTTTGAGCATCAAAGTTTAGTTTGTAATTTGTAGTTAGACCAGGGGCTGTTAAATTGTACCCACAATTCTTTGGAGCTGTATGATCAGTATAGAGTTAGATCTAATAATCTTTTTAAATCTGACCATACTTGCAGAGACATTGGTGATAAAATTTGTGCTTGCTTTGCCTAGGCCACCACACAATAGTTAAAGGGAAAAGGGAAGGATTAGAATTAGGATTAGAAGAACTTTATTGTCATTGTACAAGTACAACAAAACTGTGGATACACCCCAGCAACTGTTCACAATACAATAAAACCAAAGCACTTAAAAATGAAGATAAGAAAAATAGAGTACCCACGTCTCCATTTGCAATTTGAGAGTACAATATCTACGGATATACACAAAATATACATCCAACACTGACTGTAATGCTTTGCCGAGTATAATACACAAGAGATGGATTGTACTATAATATGTTATTGCGGCTTTGCTCCGCATTAGGAGGGCTTCTCATTGAGTCCAATGCATCAAGAAAGAGACCAAGCCGGTTCAGTCTTGGATGAGAAGCCCCGAACACGCGCTCAGGGAAGCTCTTTTATTGAACACACATTGTCAAATGTCACAAAAGAGAAAGTTCAGTCTACTTTACATGTTAAAAGAGTGGGGGGTCTCAGTGGATACATTGTAGCGCCCAATCACAGTGCTTAAGGGATACAAAGTAATCAATCCGCGCCTGCAGTCCAGCCAGTAGCCCAAGGTGGGCAGCATCCTTTTGTTCCTGATACCTGCTTTCAGCCTACATGAGGTCTTGCAGGTATCGAAACTCCTTTGCCTACATGAGGCTTGGCATATATCGAAACTCCTTTGCCTACATGAGGCTTGGCATATATCAAAACTCCTTTGCCTACATGAGGCTTTGGCATATGCCCAGGCTGTTAGATGTGGATTCGCTGCTGCATCTCCTCTGTTTTAGTTTTACGCAGAGGGATTTCTTCTGGTTCTTCGCTATAGCCCATACAGAAGCCCGTGCGCATGTTCTCATCGGGGTCCTCTGAGGGTATAGCTTTGTACAGAGATTATTTTTCCCAGAGGGCATTGACCTGTGCAATGGCGCGTTTTTCTGCTAGCAGTGACAGACTATTGGAGATGGTGCGAACAAAGATTGATAATATACATGGAAGAATGACACACCCAGCAGCAATAATACCTATGAGCGCTACTATAGCTTGTAATCCTGGCAGTTTTGGGAGCCAGGAGCCAAAGATATTTTTGAGGTCCATACCTCGCCATACTTGATCCGGATTGTAGGTTAATTGTCACATCTCAGTAGTTAACTGCGCTACGACTTTGCCAACCTTGTCAATTTGAAGACAGCAATTTGTGAGATTAAACCTTCCACATACCCCCCCTTCCTTGGCTAATAAATAATCCAAAGCCAAGCGATTTTGGTAGACAGCTGTGCGTAATTTGTCTGTAGCAGTTGCAAGAGTGTTTAGAGCCTTATCTATTCGTTGACCTGCTAAATCTAAGACAGCTTGCAAACAAATGATTCTATTAAGCATATATATGGGGGTCCTGTACCCATAAGACCCGTCTTGGGCCCAAGTAGCCATGCCATAGGTGCAGACGATTCTTTCTGAGGTCCAGGTGTCCCCTGTGTATTCTGATTGGCAGGGGAAGCCTGCAAAAGCATTGTCGGCTTCCCTTTTTTTGCGAGACAACATGTCATAAACAGGGATGCCTAGTTCCTGCTTCACTGAGATTGGAAGGAGGAAGAAGGAAGGTCTTATCCATCCCAATACACATGATCCTTGCCAATCTGCTGGGAGGGATGGGTAGGCTAGGTTGCCGCAGATCCAATACATGTCATTGGGTGCAGTCCAGTTCTGGGAGGATGAAGTGTCCCTGAGATAAGGGAGGAGAGTTGAATTTTGTGGGTGTGGTAGTAGCATTATCAGGTGCTGTCCAATTCCGGTAGGAGATGTCCCACGTACCTAAACAAAGGAGATGTCCTACCGGAATGGACCCGTTTTGGGAGAAGCAGTTTCTACCGATTAGATTGGTAGTAATTGTCCAGATAAGGGGGTCGGGGGCAGTTCTGGCTGTTATGTTTCCTATAGAAGACATGTTGTTGAACAGTGATGGCGAGGCTTCTAAGGCTTGCCATGGCCACTGTTCTCCTGTGGTGGTTCCCCCGCAGACAAAGCAATTGGTTATTACAAGTTGTTTTGCAATTTTTTCTGCCATGTCCATGAATAGGTTTTTTGCTATTATGCTGGTATCAGGAGCTTTATCTAACTTTCTTAAATTATTATACACCAACCAGCCTAATGATGTTTCCTTACCCTCATATATCACTTCTGTTTTTATAGTAATGTAGGTGTTTGGGTCTGCTCCTATGCCATCGATCCCTATACCATAGGTATCCATGGCGGGGTGTTGTCTGGAGATAGTGATCTCTACCTTGTTGTCCTTGGTAGACCCTGATACTCGTTTAAAATGTGACAGATGATTGCAGCCTGAGTACCCTCCCCCAGTATAATCACAGACACAAGACCAACCCGAGCATTCAATGGAGCCCCCGCAAGGGATTCAATGATTAGGGTTTCCTACGGCCCAATTGATGGGCGTGGGACACAAATACTTATGATCATGAGCATATTTGGTTTTCCAATCATCTGACCCACAAGGATATCCCCCTGGTTTGGAACAAGCAATGCAAACATCAAAAGTTAAGACAATTGGGTCAGTACCATCCTTAAGCACAGTGGTGTGATTTAGGTAGTAAAGTTTTCCCTCCCCTTCAGGATCGGCTCTGCCAGAGGCTTTTGGAAGTCCGGCCCACAAAGTAACATTGAGGCGAACAGCCATCTTGGGGTCATAGCAAATAGTTTTTGAGTTCATTTTGCATAACTGATACATAGTCCCGTTATTCTGGCAAGTTTTCCCAGTAGAAAGGCATCTCTGTGGTTGCTGGGTATGGTAAATGAGAGTCAGTCGAGTGAAGCCTGCTTGTGTGGTTTTGGTCAAGCAGGGGGTGCAGTCATCTGGTTTGGTGGGTTTTTGTGATCTTTTAATCCTATGCAGCAAAGGGGGGTTCTGAATATGAGTGTCAGGCTGATTCACGAATTGTCTGTGATGATGGTGAGGTGAGCGAGGTCTGAGGATTGTCCAGGAGCTGTAGGTGTTGCGCGTAGAATCATGGAGGCGTTGACCTGAACAATAGTAGGTGGTTGCAGTAGGATGGGATATGAGGAGTGTAGCTCGAGGGGGTTGTTCAAAGGTGTTGACCCGAAAAGAGGCGTTGCTGGAGATGTAGGACCATGGCTGAGGAAGCGTTGACCATCTGAGATAAGGGGGAAAAATGTCCCAGGATGCAGTGCAGGTCAGCAGGAGGGGGGTGTCTGGCGTGAAGTATGTTACTCTGGATGGAATGGAAACTTTGGAGGCGTGTGCAGCAAGGAGGAAGAGGAGGAGGAGGAGGGTCAGCGAAGCAGCAGGGCAGATCATGTTGATATGTCTGCAGCTGGTGGTTTTGCTACCTTGGGGTGGTATGGTCTGATGTGCCGTCCAGGAACCCACAGGACACGATCTGGAAGCTGGATAGCTGCGTAGCCGCGACCCCAGGTGAGGAGATCAGCAGGACCCTTCCAAGCAGGGTCTGGCAGTTGGCGGTAGTATACCTGTGGTTTGGGAGAATCAGGAGGGGGGGGAGGAAAAGTGTCGCTCCGCTGCTGTCGTAGCAGGGGTGTCAGAGAGATTGAGGAAATTAAGCGTATAAAGGCAAAGATTAAGGGTGTTTTGCATCGCCGGGAGGCCAAGGGTTTTTTTACCTTTGGTCAGATGTCGTTCTAGCGCTGTCTTTAAAGTTAAATTGGCTCTCTCTGCCAGGGCTTGTCCCTGGCTGTTGTAAGGGATCCCAAATTTGTGGGTGACCTGCCACTTAGAGCAAAATTCTGACATAGCCGCACTAGTGTATGCAGGACCATTGTCTGTTTTTATTTCGTTTGGGTGTCCCAATGATGCAAAGGTGCGAATGCAGTGGTTAATGACATGTTTAGAGGCTTCTCCTCTCTGTGGGGTTGCCATTATGAACCCTGAATAAGTATCAATTGTGACATGCAGGTACTTCCAGGGGGCAAATGGAGGAAACTGAGTAACGTCCATTTGCCATATTTCACAGGCTTTCAACCCGCGGGGATTTACTCCTAAGGGGATGGAATTGGCTTGCTGACTGAAGGTGGGGCATTGCTGTCTGATGGCTGAGGCTTCTGCCATGGTAAGGTTAAAATGTTTCATGAGGGCTTTGGCATTTTGATGAAAGTAAGAATGGCTTTCCCAGGGAGTTAGGGTGTGCGTGGTCATAATACCTGCAGCCGCTTGATCAGCCATGTCATTGCCTTCCTGGAGAATTCCTGGGAAAGGCTGGTGGCTGCGAGTGTGGGCTACAAAGAGAGGGTGTTGTCGTTGCGCAA